AAAAAAAAAAAAAAAAAAAAAAAAAACCAAAAAAAAAAAAAAAAAGATCTGGATCACAGGTGTGCCCTCCAATTCTGGATTGTACTTCATTTTGGGTGTAGTCAAGTTGACAACCAGGAACAGCCATCACAATCCACCCCTTGTCAAGTTGACACAAATTATATCTCGTGTCCAAGTGAAATAATAACCAGGTCATAAATACGCCTAACATGATATAACTGTCCCTCGCACAATTGCAAACACATTGTAAATTTAGAATAGGCCAATGTCCCTTGGGAACATTCTTTTAGTATCTCAACTTAAATATGGATTGATAGCCCTCAATTAATGTTAAAGAAATTGGAAGAAAGCACAAATATCTATACAAATATGTTCTTAAAACAAGAACATTCATATTACTTTATAATCCTTGTTTCTGCAGTTTGCCACGTGGCCTTAGATGGTATTTGTAGCTACCTTTCTCTACTACATGTTCTGTATTTCCTCTACCCTCTGCAAGCAACTCAGCAGGTCTTGGCTCTTTTCCTGGAGGAGTGACCCATACCTTCATTCCTGATGGGTCTGTGCCCTTTGTCATCCTGCTTGGATTAAGCTGTTGTAGTTTCCCATTGACTTTAATCACAGGACGTAGTAGTACTAAGAGATGCCCTAAGGGATCTCCTGCACTCCAGACATGATCTTACCTCCATTGTGGAGAGGCAATCCAATTTCCCCATGGTAATCTGATCTCTCACCTCTCCTAACACTGTTATTCCTTTCTTAGCCTGTTGGTTTAAAGGCATTAGAACCCCAAAATGACCAGGGGGAAGTCTGAACTTCCAGTTCAATGGAATGTTTGTTGTACTTCCTGGCAGGAGCACTCCCCCTTACGGACAAAACTTCTAGGCCAGCAGAACTTAGGGTCAGGAAACAAAAAATTTCCTAGAGGGTCTCTAGGAGTAATAGTGAGTGGAACTATTCCCTTTTCCACTCCTTGATTCCTGGACCTATGGATCCTGGCTATGGGAGAAACTGTACTATATATCAGTCTCTGATTCAAAGCACATACTGCTCTCTGAAGAACCCCCCCCCCAGCCCTCCACGCTGCTGCCATGTAATTGGCGCTGTAACTGCATCTTCAAAAGGCCATCCCATCTTTCCATCAGACCAGCTGCTTCAGGATGGTGGGTAATATGGAAAGACCAGTAGATTCTATGATCATGGGTCTACTGTCGAATTTCTCTGGCTGTGAAATGAGTTCCTTGATCAGAAACAGTACTGTGTGGAATACCATGACGATGGATAGGGCATTCTGTAAGTCCACAGATGGTGGTTGTGGTGGTT